GAAAGGGGGGGGGGGGGGGGAGTAGGAAATAAAAGCATATATTTATCTGTATTGCTCTGGCATGGAAAAAAGCCTGCTTTTATAGCTTGGCCAATAAAGGACTCAAAGTTGTCTTTCAGAGACGTGTCAAACTGTATTGCAGCTTTTGACGAGTTAGGGTACTAACCTGTGTGCCTTTGAACATCAGCCAGAGGCTTGTGAACATGAATAATCAAGTACCTCTGTACTCCTTTTATAAATAATTAAGACCTAGAATTAAATTTGGGCAACCCTTTGCAGGATTGCATTTGTTAAAACACAGAGTAAAGGAACTCTAACTTCTGCTAGAAACACTGCAGTATTTAGAGACAGAGGATTCCTAGAACAAGGCTGACAGCCCTCACCATTACTGAAATAAGCTTTATTTCTCCCAAGCTTGTTGCTCCAACAAAACCAGTCACAACATACTCACAATGCTGTGGAATCAGTTATCAAATAAGACTTACCTTAAAAATAACTCATGTTAAGTGAAAAGGTGACTGATAACTATCCAAAGTCAGCTGTCACTAGAGAAGCCATCAAATGTGATTCCAGCACATTCCAGGAACCAGATGCCAGTTTGGATAGTAGAACAATGTTGTAAGTACGAAGCACTTACGTGCCATTGCAGCAGTCAAAAGGGCTGTCTCCGGCTCATTACAGCTTCTTGATAAAACCTTCAAGTATTACTCAATATAATACAGCAACATTCAAAGATGATTTTTGAATGAATGCTCTGCCTACAGAAGACTGTCTTCAAAGAACAGCGTAACACAAGACTGGTATGACAGAGAGAAACAATTGCATTCAGGCTTTCAGTGCTGCATTGTAACAGAACTTTAATTCAGTCCTTGACTGCGTGCAGTAAATGGATGATTTTCTGGAAGGCATAGCAGTTTTAAGCATATTAGGAAGCTCTTAATTTCCTCATTTCCATACAGCCTTTCCAGAAACACTACTAAAGCTTTTGCAATTTCCGGTAGGATGAGAACTATTGACTCAGTTATGTCAGTACCACCTCATGACACATTCACTACCCACAGAAGCATCAAGGTCATGATGTGCAACTGCTGAGGTTACTGCATACAGAGCTGGTTATCATTTTACTCAGTCTGCAACTCCAGAACTGCACACTCCTCTTGTTCAAGAACACTGACAGTTATTCCCTAGCAAATATCATCTTCTTTCTCGTGCTATCAGGAAAGAAAGAAGGCTCAGGGCAATACCTTTTTCATGAAGGTCAAAGATCTTAATATGAAAAGATGCTACGATGTAGGAGCTATTTACAGCCTCCCTGGCTGCAGTCCCTCTCCCACCCCGTAGGCTGATGTCCAGCACGACAAGCTTTGCCATGGGGAAGAGGAGCAGTAAGACTTGCAGGCTGTTGCAAGCAGAACACTTAATAAATGCCTTGATGTTCTTTGGCTTTAGGGGGAGAACAGGGTTAAACATGGAAAACATGACCTAAATGAGAATTCTTTTGGAGACAATTCTAAGTGTGAATCAGTATTGTTGTGCATACTAAAATCAAAGTTAATACTGTCTTTAGGAGAGTTAACTCTTCAAAACCTTTCACTCTCACTTTCCCTAGGGTGTTTCTCCATTCCTATGGAAAGCAGCTCTTACCTCCAGCACATGGACAGACAGACCCCTCGGGGATTGCTCACATTAAAGAAACTTTACAAGTAGAATTCCATTCAACAGATTTTATTTATCAATTTGGTTTCGCAATTACAACTGTTTCAGTTTTCTTCCACTGAAGACAAAATACAAACTTTTACAGCAACACTTGCAGAGAACATTCATAAGAGAACAGCTTGGTATCTGCACAAGTTGGCTTCAAGAAAAAGCCAGGTAACTTGAAGAGTCACTACAGTTCAGTGCCTAAAATTGATTCAGGGGCAAATACAACTACAGATCTATGAGCTACCTTCCACTTCAAAACACAAGGCCAAGAAAAACTGCAAGTTGTTACTTCAGGTTTGTTGCTAGTACGCAGCACAGAGTAGCTGATACTGCCGTTTCACAAAGGACTAATTACTTTCTATAGTGAGGCAGCCAAGCACGTGGTGAAGATGTATAATCCCAGCCTCCCCTCCCCCCAAAACAACCAAAAGGGAAACTATCCCGGCCACAACTCCGCAAACTGTGGGTTCTACCTTGTTGGCAAGGCTAACGAGCAAGCGGTGCGTAGTGCAGGCCCTCCAGAACATGACCACATTGATACAGTGCAAGCTGGCATTTTTCACATTGGCATCTGTACGTGTCAGAGATTCTGGGTTTCCTAAAGTCTTCAAAAGTAGCAATTGCTGGCACCAAGAAAAATTTAGTAACTAAGGCAAGGTATCCCTTCTACCCTTTTAAACAAAATTTGAGGCAAAAGATTAAGCAGGTTTAAGGCACTTTAAAAATTATTTCTTTGTTTGCTTCACCAGCATACTTTATCAGCAACCTAAATCAGGATCAGCACAGCTCATGAATAAGCATTTTAGCAACATTTTACAAAGCAACGAGTTCTTTGTGGCAATGGCTTCCACACTATAAAGTGCTCTGGAGCACTTCTCTGCAGGTTTCCCAAAAGATAGCCCTTTGAGGCCAAAAAAAATTATATACTAGGCATACAGTTTGCTTTGCTGAGCTGAAGAAGTCTGCCACACTTTAGAATAATGTTTCGCTCACTTCAAAGTACAGAATACAAGCTCATGGATATCTTTTTTAAACAAATAAATGTAATAAAATAGTTCTCAGATAGGGAAAGGACAGATTAAGTGATTTCACAGTAAGGCCAAGGATATACCATCTAACCCACACACATACTGTTGCTGGAAACTGGCTGCTCACGCTGCTGTTTTAATAAACCTGAGCTGATTGTCTTAGTTTCGTTTAGAAAACCAAAAGCTAATGAACTCAAAGATACAGTACTGCTGAGTAACTTTCTGGATTTTGTAGCAATTTGAGTTTTCTATACAGCACAATGGAAACAATGCCATTCAAACTAGAAGAACAGAAGAAAGCCACACTGTGCACTTTAGGTTTCCAACTGAAGTGCACTTGATTTGCTTCATATTTAAATTTCACTGCCATGACTATTATCTGCATTAACGCTAACATTTGTATCGGGTGCCAAATTCCAGTCAAGTCAGAGCTAGTAAAACAGTACTACGGATTATCCTGAAATTGATGATCAAGGGATATCATCAAAAGCTATGTATTATGTGCTACTTCCACCACTTGGTTTTATCCTTACTTTACTTCCATTTTTCCTGCAGGTTTATTTTCACAGGCACTCAAGGCAATCTACACTGGAAATGACGTACCTTTGAGACTCGGACCACATGACTGATCTGGCCAAGGGAATAAAAGAAAATTAAAAAGTACTATTTGGCCTAACAGATTTCCTTAACTGGTTAACTGCAGGGTGACACAAAGCTTATGCCAGGAAAGGGAAAAAAAAAAAAAGGGGGCAAAAGAAAAAAGGTGCAGCCCTGGCAGCCCCAGAACTACAGCAATTCTGACTAGGATCAAATTAGCAGATCCTCTGAACTACCCTCAATTGCTCCTTCAGAAAGCAGACATACAGGAGGGCAAAAAAGAGAAAAAAAAACCCACCAAACCCCTGAAATTAATTGCAATGAGTTTAAGAACCCTTTCAATAAGAAAAACCTCAGGACTTCCCACATACCAGTATTTCAAGTATAAGTGTAAGTTGTTGCCTCTTCATACAAGGAGTGAACTGAATTTTATCACTAGTTTTATGGTTGGTCTTTGAAGGCCAGAACAAAAGGTAAACAACTTAAAGCTTCTGTTTGTAGCTGAACATTACTGTACCATGCTCCCTCACCCCCAAACAAGGTCAATAAGGGACAGTTATTTAGTGTAAAGAGTTTTTAAACTGGAATGCTCAACTCATATGTATTCCATTCTCCTATATAAAGCTAGAACTTTATAGTTTTATTTATCTTTGAGATAGGTGGGACGCTTTTGCAGTCTACTGATTTTTTTAGTCTTTTAAGGCACTAATCTTCATTTCCCCTTTAAAGGAGACCCCTCTCCACCTTCAAAATTAATTGGAAAGGGCACCAGTTTTCTGTTTGGAATGCAGTATTTTATCTTGTGTAAAAAGATACGGGGTTATGTGGGTTATGTTATTCTGTTAAGACATTACCTACTTCTACAATTTTGTTCATCTTCCTAGCAGCCCACTGCAAGAGCCACAAGCTGCTAAAAATGGTGTTTCACTCCCTGAAGTCAGTCACCCATAATTCACATCTTGACAAAACTAAAGGGATACTGTATCAAATGTTGATTCAATTAGCCTTCACGATAAGTCATAATGAGATTGTCTACTCAAGACAGTGTTGCCACTGAATAAGAATCTCTGAATGTCTACATTTGGCATATCAAACAAAAAAAAAGTCCCACAGCAGCAGCCACTAAAGGAAAATAAGACAGCCATTAGAACCCATGCAGCATATTGCAAGTAATCCTGTTGAAGAGATTCGTGTCACCTCTTGCCAAGTATAATGTTGCAAAAATATTCATTTAAAGTCTTCTTTTAGAGATTTAAAGGATATTACGAACTGCTGTCTTCAATGAGCAACAAAAAATATTTTGGTTCAGTGAACTAAACGCGTTGGGCTACTAGTCCATTATAAAGTGGCAGGTCCTAAAGTGTGTGGTAGTTTCGGTCTTTTGACTTGCAGAATTTGTACAGAAAGAAAACAACAGCCTGCAGACCCAAAACAAGGACAATTCCACCTATGAAACTTGCAGCATCAAACGTAGATTTGCGTGGAGAAGGTGTAGGAGTCACAGTAGCATTCGTACCTGTTGAACACCACATTAGAGTTTGTGAGTGCACAATGCTCACAATGATTTCACAGATTTTAGCACTGGCTTCCTTGTATTAAGATTACTCAACACATCCAAACACCAATACAAAACCAAAAAATAATCAAAAGACATGTCAGCAGCTGTATTTAGATTAGTGATACTGAAATTCTGATTGAATACTGTTTGTACAAAGCTAGAGCTATTTATAGCCAAACTGCTCTGGATCTCAGTACTGAACGAGTCCCAGCTGGACTATTTGTACTTCAAAAAGCCAAAGCTTTCCTCCTTTACACAGAAGATATAACTGATGCACTCACATTCAAAACACATTTTCCAATCTCTGCTGCTTGCTCCTCCTTGCTCTAGTTTTTTTGCCCAAAGAAATCAGCTGAAGCCACAACACACATGAATCTGGAAGCTACAGCCATCTGCTGAGGGCTAGTTTTAAAGAGCTTTACTTCACAAAAGCTTTTAATGAAACAGCATATTCAAGACTGATGCTGAAATAAAATACGACGTTTTATTCCCATCACTGCAGCCCAATTACTTTTTTTTTTTTAAATAGGTATCCCATTATTATGCTGCAAGTGAATAACAAAATACCACCTCCCAAAGATAAGTGAGTTAACAAGAGAGTTCCAGCCACATTATTACAAGTGGCCAGCTGATTCTGTTTCACCACCATGTTCCTGACTCTTAATATCTCAGCACCTAGCTCTGGGTATTACCTGGCTACATATGTATGTCACCTTAACAACATTAGATGTGCCGTGAGGTTAGAAGTGACCACAGCAGATATACCAATACAACTTGAACGTTGTCACTTGGTAAGTCCTTCAAGATAACGCTTTTAAAGCCACACAAATTTCAAAGTATTTTACGCTTTACTTGTGCTAGAAGTAGCAGTTACCTGGAACAGTGGTTGTCCTGGTAGGTGAAGTTGCAGCAGTTGTAGGTAGAGGACTATGTGTCGTTGCATTGGTGACGTTAGCTGTTGGAGAGAAGACAGTATGTACATACCATGAGCTTCAAGAGCAAAGTTTGCAAGCAACAAAGTTCTCACGTGAAAGATTTGTCTTGTTTTGCTTAAACAAGGGTAAGCTTTGACCTCAGACTGTGCCCCACACAATATAGATGTTCAGCTGCATGGCATTAAGCCAAGTTTCTGCAATAAGGCACTTTTTTTTTTCCCAAACTTGCACACTGTTGTTAGCCAAATATTTCAAGGTTCTCCACAGATCACACAGTGATTCTTCCTTCAGACAAACCCACTTTTCTTCCAAGCACTCATATAAATGCTGGTATTTGAACAAGAACCAAGACACCTGCTTCAAGACAACAAACAATCTGCATCAAGGCAAAGGACTTGCATTAAACAGCCCTTAAAATAAGTTAGTATGTATTATACTAAAAAAGTACTTGATCTAGTATCTCTAGACAGGAGATAAACATAGGATAGCAAAACAACTACTTTCTCCCCGCCCCCAAAACACTAACTGTGGATGATATAACTAGATAAGCAAACACTCACCTGTAGCTAGACAGTCTCCTAAAAGCTCTTCTGTTATCAAGCCAGAACACTGGGTCTCTGACCACTCCCTCCCCTCACATTGTTATTACTGACAATTAATCAGCACTGCGCTATGTGCCTGGGACAAGCGCCAACATTTGTAGGTTTACTCAAAGCTAAATGTCACCCTACTGTACAGTAGGCGGTTCTGAGCCTAATCAGGTACCAACTCGTTACCTCCCAGCAGCAGATGCTTTGAATGATGAGATTTTTATTATTTTTTTTTATTAAGAACTTCACTGTTAAGATGGCAGCACGTGCAAAACCAGACATTTTTTAACTGGTCAAAAAAATAAATATATAAATCAACCTACCTCATAAGAATTCATGATTAGTGGAAATGACTAATCTAATTAAAACAATTCAAATAAAAATCTCTGTTAAGAGTTTTATAAATCCACTTCTTCCAAACTTTGGGACCATTTTTGTAATCCCTTTATCAGATGTTTAGTAGTCATGCTACTACAGTGATCTATGGAAAAAGCCCTCGCCCTCTATTTTATTCACCAGTTCCTAGCTTACTGCCATTGTACGTTCAGTGGGAGTGCATTACCTATAGTAGGATGAGGTGTGGGAGCAGAACTGGCTGTGGTGGTATTGGAAGACTCTGTGGTAGCATTGGCAGGTGCCGTGGTAGTATTGGCAGGTGGGGTAGTTGTATTGGCAGGTGCCGTGGTTGTATTGGAAGATGGTGTAGTTGCATTGGCAGGTGCCGTGGTAGTATTGGAAGATGGTGTTGTATTGGAAGGTGCCGTGGTAGTAGCACTGGGTGGTGCCGTGGTAGTATCTCTGGAAAACACACCTCTAGGAGCTATGAAAGAAAAAAAAAAAGAAGAGTTACGCTAAAGAGATTAATGACAGTGTTTAACTAAAAGGAGGGGAACATGAGCAGGCTGAGTTTTAGGGAATTCATACTATTGTAGTTTTGGACTGAAACTGCAAAGCAGCTAAATGTTCACCACACTAACAGCAAAAGTTGTAAGACTGAATACATGAAAAACCTTGTCACAGGCAGCCCAATCAAGGCAGCGTTCAGCTGGCAACTCCAGATTCCTCAAAGCAAACAGAAGGGAGGAGAGTCTTATTGTACAAGCATTAACTGTGCATGCTCTACACAGCAGGAGGGGAGGTAGTACTGCCTCCCAGCCTCACTGCAACCCAAACAGAACCCGTTGAGTTGAAGCGGAGATCCGAGTGGTCAGGCAGCTGAAACAGTGTGGGGAGAAAACGACGACATCCTCAAGAATTTGAAAGTTTAAAGCTTTCTGCTCTGAGAGCTGTTGCTCTCAACTTCAGCATGTGCTGTAAAAAAACCAAACCAAAACCAAACCAACAACTGTGAAGCCTTCTGCAACTTACTGTATTAACTGAGTTAATCAAACATGGACAACTTCTCTAAAGTGTTGCTTCATCACACACTGATACATCGGGAAGCTTCCTGCTGAAATACCATTATGTCCAGAAGCATTTAATGCTCAGGGTCCTCTCCATGTGGTTACTTACATCTTGAAACAATACATCATGGTGGGAAACTAGAGCCAACTGTTTCTACAGATCTGTAGGATGTATCCTACAGGTAGGATATATCCGTAGGGTGGATATATCAGAACCTACATTCTTTCAGGTCCCACTTGCATCAAGTCAGTTTTAGGTCCACCTTAATGTTTGTGCATGTCAATCCCCAAATGTAGTGCTTGCTGAGCCATGACTCTGTAACAGCTGATAAGGTACAGGTTCCTCTCATACCAGCAAAAATCCTCTACTGAAGGTGACAATTAAGTTTCCTTGAAAAGGCAGAAGCTAAAACATAACCTGATAACTCCGCTCCAAGTTTAACAGGAACAGACTACAGAAGGTCTGCTCTTACAGAACAAGGCATTGTAACAGCACACTCTCTTTGGAAAGCACTGAAAAATGGTACTTCTAATAGTCCTGATTAAGAAGTGATTGTTACGATTTTAGAAACAACACAGAAGTCCAAGTCAAGTGGAATTATTTCTGACTGGCTGCCACCACCACCAGAGACCCCATAGCAGCATGGAAACTCCAACTCTGTTGGTGTGAGCCAGCCTCTGTAGCATCACTGTTGAACTCATCTAGACAAGAGCATTAAGGATTTTCATTTCTTGTTCTAGATCTTAAAACCAAAAAATCCTAAAGTCCACTTCTTGTCACCTTTCAGAAAAACTAAAGTGGAGGGGCTTTCACAAAAGTGAAATTAAAGATTTAGTCTAAATTATTCAGATCCTGCAAACTTGTTTTGCATAGCAAGCATAAATTAATGAAAAGACTACAGCAGGTATGCAACTGAGCATGTTTCTAGCATGAAGGATCTACCTGATGCAGTTCTATAACCCAGATCCTGCATGAAGAGCTGTTCTAGTTAACAATTAAAACTGGAAGGTTCCTAAGTTCTTGCTATTTACTGCACCTCAGCTGAAGCAATGAACTTAGCAGGGGAAACATTTTTTATTTAATATGACAGGTTACTGTCCTGAGGATGCTGACAAGTTCCTTAGCATATGCTATATCTAATGGGAAACGTCCCCCATTTTAATCTAAGAAACCAAGGCAGTAGTCAGGCACAAGTGTCTAGTAAAATACGTCAGGCTTCTTGAAACAGCGACAGTGAGCAGTTCACTGCATGCACAATGAAACTGCATCTTTTAGTATCACATAACATAGGTTTAAGCTGGAAGCAAAGGGCTTATTTACATACTTGTACATGCTTAGATAAATTGTAGAAGGCATATTAACAAAGGTCAACAGATGAAGGAGTTTTAAATGCAACTGCTTCACGTTAAACAATGTGAAAGCTGAATATCTAAATACTTACAAGAACACTGTTCAATTGTGCAGTTGTATTGTTCCTCAGCAGTTTTACTTACACACCTTTCATCTATCAGAAAAGAAGAGACAAGAATATTTACAGCAGCAGAACTTTAAAGTGTTTGAGCCATTGTTCCTAAATACTAGTAAACTGTTCACAGGATAAACTAAACACCGTCTTCTAGTCAGGATAATATGAAAGCCACTTCAATATACAGAAATTCAGTATATTAATGAGTGGAAATTATAAAAGTTTTAGTGTTTTCTTTCACTACAGTTAGTCTATCACTCAAATAAACACTTAAGCAATACTTACACGTTGTTATGCACCATTCTGCAATAATAGCATAGCTTGGTGTTTTTTCTTCATAGTCTATAGGCAGTGTTTCTACTATTTGTGGAATTTTTCAAATTAAACATTTTGCATCTCTATGGTAGCATCATAATAAAAATAAATATCTTAGTGTCTTAAAATTCCTACATGCAAGCAAAACTTAGTTCCAGCTTTTCAAACAGATCTTTGACCTTGAAATTGTTGCAGGCATCAGTTTTTTATTCTCTGCCTGCACACCCTTCTCCCTGGACTCAGATTTCAACCTCTCCCTCAAACAAGTTACACAGATCTCTAGGGTGTTTGTAATATGTCCCTGTTGGTCAGACAACACATGCAGAATTCAGAAAAAGAGCTTCCTGAAGGACACTCTTGTACTGGACAAGTTACATTCAGAATTCTTTTCATTAGTTCCAAAGCATCTTAGCTTTCATATATAACCTTTCTTGGTCATCTACAATCAAAACCACTATTACAGTCAAGCCATTCTCTCCTCTTACTCAGTTTCCACTTCACATAAGAAGCACAAATAATCCACATAAGGACTATTTATGTAGTCTTTGTATGACTTTGTCAACAGCAACTTCGTTTCCTCCAGGACTGAGTACCAGAGGTCACTTAAATGTATTTACATCCAACTCTCCTACAAAGGGAAAAACAAAGCTCTGAATGAGAGCAGCTAATGCTTCTTTGGCTGTCATCCTCCCTTCAGTGGGCTGAAATCTTTAGTTTTAGGAAAACTACTCTTAATAAAACTTATTTAATGAACTGCTCTGCCTTATTGCATTTCTGTTCAGGAATAGTGGTTGTGACCACATTTATGACAAAACCTCAGAAGGGACTGAAGCACAGGGATGTGCCAGCATGCCAGAATCTACTCACGACTCCTTAACAGCAAACACAAGTGACTAGTTTATTCTAAAAACATTCTGAATCATCTGGGACACATTAGCTTATCAACAGCACAGATTTAGATCAGGAACATTAAAAATCTGGGATTATTTTGAATATGTTTAGCTGTCTCTATATAAAAACTTGAAACGTTTAACAACAGATGCAACTTAGGAGCTAATGCTCCATCAGGTTACCAGACAGAGTAGGACACTTGAGTAATGAACGTTACTGTAGATGTTTGGATTTAGTTGGGTTTAAGGTTCTGCATGGCACAGTGAGGATCTGCACTGTGTGGTCCTCCTTACCTTCACCACATCTGATCCAGTTGCACTGTGCTGCATCTGCTCCATTACCAATACACAAACTGCAGTTAGAACGGCTTTCACAGGTGCCTAGAAAAAAAAAGAAATGCACTAAAATTATCACTGTCAAAAGAGCATCTTCACCCGCAGAAGCAACATAGATCCGTACCTTCTCATAGGTACATCTCCTGGGTTAAGGCACCATCCTTCTCACTGAACTAACTACAACTGAAAGCTACAACTTTTGAATGCGTTTGACCAACACAAAAACATTTCCCTCCAGACACTACTGACAGTCCAAAACCAGACCCCACACGTACACCAAGACTGTGCTTCATGCAACCTCTAACTATAGTAAACTCAGAGGATACACTATTTCAGTGATGTTACCAAAGTCCACCAAATCAATTTTGCAGAAGTTCATTGAAACCACGGACGGTAAGAGCTTTGTTCCTTTTGATTACATTTTTCCTTTAGGCAATACAGCCAGCTATAAACAACCCTACAGTAGAAAGCAACCAAAATCTGAGAAGTAATGAAAAGAACCTAGAGGACTTCACATACAAATGCATATAGAGGAGAGCTGAAAGAAAATAAATCTATTCATATTTTGATCACAGCAGAAGCCAGCAACCTAACCAGTCCAGCTGCTTTTTTATGTCAATCTCAGCCAAACATTTTTGCCTTGAAACCACAACATCCACTATCTGGATCAAATAAGATCTTCTCCCAAGCTACAATTTTACTGTATTACTTTTAATTAAGACTTACTCATACAGTCATCATACTCAGAAAACCCACATACAGCCCACAACTCCTTACGCCGCATACACTCCAGCACATTTCACATCATATCCACCTACTCCAGACACTTTGGATGACCTTTCACTTTTCCCTGCTCTGCTCCCCAGTGAAGGGAATGCTGCTTTTCACAGATCTTTGGCAATCAGCGTGGCAATTTACATCTCCAGACAACAGCTATAAGTGCATTACCTAACTTCAGTATTCTGATAATTTGAATTAAGCCTGTATCCACCTGGCCTTTCTCTTGGTTAGGGTAGGATCAGGCTAGAAATATTGGTGCTGTTTCTTCACTTTCAAGAAACATAAGAAGAGATGGAAAAACCTTTGTTGGTTTGCATCAGTGAGGTATGCAACAGACTTGCCCTGTTCCCTTCAGAAATACCGCACTCAAACCACTTCAAGAGCTCTGTGACAGCTTCTGGGTAACAGATTTCGGTGGGGGGGAAATAAGGTAATTTATTATTCTGGGTATATTTCTGAAGAACAATCACAGCACAAACACCACTCACTTCTGATGAATTAACAAGGTTCACTTTTGTAAATTCCTCACTGGCACATAGAAAAATTAGCACAGTACATCTGTGCAGAGAGAAGGACAGTCAGTGCAGCCAGATAATACCAGGTGCACTCGGACTTAGAGTTTACTTTCAAAATACCTTTCCCAGACTAGCGCGGGGGAGGAACAGATTTGCAAGAGTAAAGGATCAGGAGACATATTCATCCCAGCAAAAGATTTCAAGAACGAGCTGCTAACTTCAAGGATCAGCAGCGGGGTGTCAGATGTTCTCCCAATGCTACCCCGCGGTGAAACACTCTCCGAGGTCTTTAAAGGGGGTAACAGAAAGCTCTCCAGTTCTCTCCATCAGCAGATACCCGCTTTTCACCGAAAAAAATTACTCTGCTACCACGAACTCAGCTCTTAAGTGTGGACAAGCTCATGTCTGCTCCCAAAACAAACCCAGTCTGGTGTACTGGGTAAATTCAGATATTCCCCTTACAGCTGAAGGGGAAAACTGGGAACACTAAGAGAAGCCTGGCCCGCTGGACCAACACTGCCCTCTCCCGCTGCGCCGGGGAGGTTGTTAACCTCCGGCTCCCGGCAGCCCCCAAAGCAGTTCACGTTCCGATAGGGCTGCCCGATATCGGCCTCCATCGCGGCACGGCTGCTGGGGCTCCGGGAGGAAACCCGGGAGGGCTGAAGCGGAGGTTCGGGGGCAGCGGCACCCGGCGCCATTGCGCAATGCGGCCCCAAAGCACGCCCGGACTCCCACAACAACTTCTGTCCTTCGCTCTCCGGGGCGCGCCGCAGGGGCTCGGCGGCTCTCGGCCACGTAAACGCTTTAGCAAAACGGCCCAGAGAGAGGAGATGAGCCCGCGGGGTCAGAATGGCGTCAGGATAACGAACACGGAACGCCGCGGGGGGGGGGAGGTTGGGGGAAACGAAAGCGGGAACAGGCGGAGCCGGAGAGAAGCGAGCCAGGCGCTCGGCGGGCTGCGGCCAAGGCGCTGAGGGCGGCGTGGCGGCCGAGCTGTGGGACCGAGGGACCCGCAGGGCGGCTCCGCGGCCGGGGGGCACTGCGGCGCTCCCCCCACACCCCCGGCGGGCACAGGGGGTCGGCCGCCCGGCCGGGCTCGGTGCGTGGAGCCCACCCCATTCCCCTCTCAGGGCCAGACACCGAGCGGGGCGCGAGAGGGACTGCCCCGTCAGCAACTGCCGGGTCGGGTAGCGGGGAGGGGAGGTCGCGAGGAAACTCACCAACGGTTGTCTGGGCGCTGAGCCCGCAGAAGAGGCAGGCCAGGCAGAGAGCGGTGAGGGAGAGCGCGGCTATCCGGCCCATGGCGGCGGTGAAGCGATGGAGGGGGGAATATGGGGTTGGTGGGTGGCGAAAGGCACATGGAAAGTAAAGAGGTGACTGGCGACAGCCCACATGGCTTTACCAAGGGCAAATCGTGCCTGACAAATTTGGTGGCCATCTACGAACGCGCTACAGCATTGGTAGATAAGGGAAGAGCAACTGACATCATCTACGTGGACTCCCCCCCCCGGTTCGATGCGTAGTGGAACGGTCCCAACCGCCACCCCGGTGTTTCCCGCGCGACCCCCTCCCCGCGGCGTCAGCAGAGCGGTGGCCGCTCATTGGCTGGGGGCGCGGCGGAGGGCGGGGATGTGGCGCGCGGACGGTGCGCCCCGCGCAGGCGCTGTGTGAGGGGAGGCGGAAGGTGGCCGTTGGCCGTTCCTCACGGCCGCTCCCCGGGGTGGGGGGAGCAAGCGAGCGGCCGTTTGCGGGGGTCGCACCGAGCGGCGGGGAGGGAGACGCTCCCCACCGGCAGACACTAGCCGCCTGGGGAGGGCCAGCCGCGGCGTGCGGTCTCTCCCTCCCTGGCGGGACGGCCGCTGGGCCATAACGGCTTGTACCCTGCGGGAGCGGCCTGGCGGGGCGGGAGGAGGCCGGGGTTGCTCATGGCAGAGGGATTGGCGATCCTCCGTGTTGCCCAGGGCTGGCTCCCTCAGTGGGCTGCTGCCGTTTTCCCTGAAGTTGCCGAGGCAGAACGGCTCCTCAGGCATCGGCTCTTGTGTCCCTGCCAGCTCTGCAGGTTTTTTTCAGTGGATTTCTCTAACGGAGCAATTTTCGTTGGTGTGTCGTTCACCTTTTCTACCCTGAAAAAGCATTAGTGAGTAGTACATAACTAGTGTGAGTAAGTATTAATCATCATCACACCTGAAGGTTAATAGCAGGCAGCTGTTGCACCTTGTCCCACTAGTGCCATGGCAGGTGGGAACAACGCCCTGGGAGTCCATAGGGAATAAATGTCTGCAGTACTACAGGGAAAGCTTGGGAAAAGTCGTAACCTTCACTCTTGTCACTTCCAGGTGTGCTGTAGAGAACGCCTGGAGAAGGATATTTGGGAATTGCATCACAGAAGAGAGTCCCCTCTCTGTTTTTTATTTTCCCGTCTCTCTCTCCTTTGTTTTTCCCCGAGGCAGTCTGAGTCAATGTATAGCATCAACAGTGGACTCTGCAAATAAAAGTTTGTTTGTAAATCTGCCTCAACGTTTTGTGCAATGCCAACACAGACAAAGGTTGGGAAACCAAGGCAAACATCCGTGCTTGTAATCAGCAAAAGCCAAGCTGGAGCTATAAAGCCAATTTCAGTATGGTCCTGATTTGAGAAAGGCACCAGCAGAATGAAAGGACAGATGAAAGAGTTATAATCAGGAAAATTCTCCCCTGTTTCTCCCAGTGTGAGCTGGGCTTGGGCAGTAACAAGGAAACTGCCAAATAAATCTCTAGCTTAATCTTCCATTTTACTTTCTTTCCTGAAGGTGTTTTATTGCCAAGAGCCAAGAGACCAATACAACATCAGAAACTTTAAGACAAGCTACCTATCACCATTACTGTGTGAGCTCTGGAAAGATCTGCAGGACTGTTGGTAATACACAGTTTGGGTATAGAGCTTTCTGACAAGCTTCTGTACCATCATATATTGTGGTGCTTCTGCTAGTGGGCAAGACGGCTAATGCTCTGCCTTCCTGCAAAGGAGTCTTAGGCTGAAAATATAAAAAAATGGCTGCAAAGAAAACAGCAGGGAATAAATTTTGTGTTATGAATGGAACCTCGTAGCAGCTGCAGTGAAATGACCCAGTATGTTTTGTTGGATGTAAATGTCAGTGACATCTGAATCTAGTTCTGAAAAGTGATAAAGTGACTGAAGTGACGCACTCACTTTAGTTACCTTTCATTCATTTTACAGGACTGGTAGTGTGAAATAGTTCAGTTTGTCCTGCAGTATGATTAAAGTTGCTGGCTTTTTAACAAGAAGAAATAATTTTCACATTCATTATTAAAATACTGCATGTAAAATAAATTGAGGAGCAGCATAAATACATATTGCAACATAACTGAAACTGCAGTGAGCATTGAATATGGGAGTTTCCTAAGGCTTCCACTCATCTCTCCTGGCCATGCCTGCAAAGATTTTTATGTCCTTCTAGGACAAGGATCTCCTTCTTTTGAGAAGGAAAACAAATGAGACGTTTGTTAAATGTGATGATAAAAGACAAGACTCTAGCAGATGTGTTATGTGTATAGAAAAACTCAGAGAAAATTAAGTAGATAATAAAACGGAACTAAGATTAGCAGCAGGGCAAGAATTACAGCTACAGCTTGTCTCCACAAGCAAGTGAAAACATGCCTATCCTAATCCTGGGGGCTGCTGGGAGTCCAAGGGAATGATAAATGTGGTTTTGTCTGTTTTTTCTTAAAGTCAGCATCTGGGGCCTTTGTTGTAGCATGCAGTCAGCAGGATCACGGCAGTCTGGGTTGTTGTTGTTGGATTTAAAATATCACATTCATCACTCTGTTCATTTTTCGTTGAGCTGTTATATACTTAGTGGTTAGTAAGGCATTTACCTCTGGTTTGAATCTATAAGGAATTTCCAGCACTGCGTTACTGGAAATTTATGTAAAGTCCTTGGCAAAAATGGGTAAAACCTAGGGGTCTGCCGATGTCCTCTTTAGGGAAGCACATTTTAAATGTAGTAAATGCCCAGTATTTGCAGCACATCATGTTCTATCAATTGGTGCTGGGCAAGATGTGATAACAGGGCTTTTGGAGAGGTTCCAGAGGACCATACTGCAGTTAGGGATAGTAGCAATAAATGAAAAAACCCCCACATTTAGTAGATAGACAGAAGGGAACATATATTTGGTTCCAGTTATAAACATTTCCGTTCATTTCCAAATTGTCATTTCACCTGCACGAAAAGAGAAGTACATGTGAAATGTAAATACATGGTGGGTGTTTTAACAAGGGAAATACACCATCCAAAGAGGTTTGGGGGGATTTCATACCTTTGCATAATGTGACACATTACGTAAATAAAACACTGTGTAATCTGCTAAAGAGAAGAGTTTTCTCAGGAGGCAGGATGCTGCCCTCTGCCCTTTACAGAAGGGAGTTTTTGTATATGGTTGCTGGGAAAAGAACTTCTCCAAAACCAGCGCTTGGCAATGAACATCTTCACCTCCCCGTCTGCCCCTGAATTTCCCGGACTTTTGGAGAACCCGTGGCTTCCCTCTGGGCTTGCACATCCTCTGGATGCTTGCTCACACTGCTTCTCGGGTCTGGCTCCCTCAGAAGATGCAATGGGATCCTGGTGATTTGATCAGAACTGTAGGTTACAACAGAAAATACGGCACAAAATGTAATTTTGGATTGAGGTTAAGATGATTCTTCCTTTCCTGTTTCATCGATCATCACCTTGGGGTCCTTAAGCATATCCAACTTGCAGGCACCGGGGAACCAGGATTGAAAGACACTTTCTTTTAGGTGACCTCTTTAATACCAGATGAAAGATTTTACCACATTTTCTCTGGCAGAGTATCCTGCCGCGACCAATGCAAAGACAGTAATTGTGGCTTGCCCGAAGGATCATTATGCCTGAAATTCAAAATATTTCCTGGTTGTACTCTCCTCTTCTCGTTATAACGTTTTCCATGTGGTGTAACTTCAGCCGGTTGTCCCCAGCCCGCTCACCCTGTGTGGCAATCCTAGATCCTGAGCCTCTGAGCCCTGGATGTCACACATGTGAGCTTTGGGCATGGGATGGATGAGCTTTTGGGTACTTGAGGTGACCAGGCGTTTGTCTGCCCTGAGGGATCCTGAGCGCTGCCCGTTGCCAAAGCGGTGAGAGTTTCTGGGCTCTCACAGCTGCTGGGATCAGGTCATCTGGACTCAAAGCACACGCTGTGCTATAGCTTGGTCCTTTGTGGGGGACACTGGGGACATTGGGGTGCAGCTATGCCACAGAGCAGACCTGCCGTGGGTGACCAAGCCAACAGCAAATAAAAAAATCAATTAATTGCTTTTTAGCATTGTCCTCTATACCCTGCAGAACTAAAATTACTTTTCTGACTTTTATCTTTAAACATCTGAGTACAATTTAAAATCCTTGCAAGAAATACGAGCCACTAACCTCTGCCCCAATACTGAGTTTTGAAGCCATATCCTTTCATAGCAATAGTCTCGATTACTTATGAAAAGTAATTTGTCAGGAAATTATTCTTTTATGAAGAAAATCCAACACCATATTTTCATCTTTGGCACAGAACTAGGAAGTGAAAATAATTATTAATTGATTTGAAATGTTCCTACAGAAGACTTAGTTCGTCCATAGTAGTCTTGGTATAGATTGCAGAGTGCTTTAGAAAATAAAAGGAGAAAATGTGTTAAAGGCTTCTTAGCTAACTACAGACAGATACAGATATTTTAGAGTAAAAAATCTTTTTGTTTTGTACAGTAAGTAAAGAAAAACCTAAATCCCCTTGCTAAAATTAAGACAATCCCTGTGCTCACTCAGAGCATGTGGAGATCGCTCTAGGTCTGTGCCCTCTTCAGGCATTCAGTTAAACATTTACTGTTTTGGTAAACTCATTCCCATTTAACAAATACACTTAAGATTGTTGCTTTTCGTTAAATCCATGGGCTTAAGCTCGGACAAAATTAGGTCTCTCTTAATACTTCTCTAATTCAGCCTCTCCCATCTTACAACTGGTGCTCTTTTGGGGGGTTTAGCAGCTCATGTGGTGAGCCCAGGAGCAAAGGTCGCTCAGCACAGCTCTTCCCAGCGCTGGAAATGGTGCTGAGAGAGCTCTTTGTACACCCGTGGGGTCCCTGGCAGCGCAGGGCTGGTGGAGCCCGGTATCTGCATCCAAGCCCAACAAGTGAATGCTCTTTCCTTTGAACTTCCAATGCAACCAATTGTGGCCTCTCTTTCCAGGCTGCGTTTTGATTTTCCACGCATTTTCTCATTTTGTAGTGCTTACCTGCCCTCCTCTGCTGAAGCCATCCATGCCCACTGCACCTCAGAGAGATCTTGCATGTAAGAAATCACTGCTGCTAGTGTGTATTATAGAATTGCATCCACAGGTAACCTTAAAATTTCCTGGTTTGCAGTAACCTTATAAACAATGTTTTTTCTCTGCTTTAGTGGCAATAGTCACATTTTTATTATTTGAGACCATCTGCCAAAAATAATTACTTAAAGCTTATGCCTGCTCTACCATTTCCTAGTTTTGGCCTGATGTGGCCCAACCTGATTTCCATGGTGTAACTTGTAGCTTACAGTGGTCAGTGCAGGATCAAAGTATGGCACCCAGAGAGACCACAGGCCTGCAAAGAGGTTTTTTTTATCCTTTCCTCTGAGATGTCTGAATTACCACATACAGACTATATACGGGGCAAACCTGGCAGGGCAGTTGTGCTGTGGAGGTTGTGGTAGAGGCAGAATTTAGCCAGGAACAGCTGGATTTATCCTGATAGGTGTGTATCCATCTGTCCACCCCTGCTTTAGCCAAATGTGCATTTTATCATACCTGCTTGTCACTATATCATCGTATTAACAGCATTTCCCATAAACTCTAGACTGGCACTGAGATGTCTTCACAAGTTTTTTTCTATACTTTTGTGAAAGTGCTTTTTAACAGCTTATGAACATTTTTTTTTAAAGCCAAAAGAATGTTTCCGAGCCATTCACATGTGCAAGAAATGCTTTTATTCTTGCCTTAAGTGAAAGCCATCAAGATCTGTAAAAAGCTGTACCTTGCAGCAGGCAGGAGACCCAGCTGGCGATCACGGCTCGAAGGTCCCACAGTCAATGATCTTGCAGGGTACCGCAGGCCTTTCGTTGTACGTAGGTACGGCTTCCAGTCTCTGGAGGACCTCCGTGCCCTCAATCAGTTGTCTACGGGGGGGAGAAAGTGCAGATATAGCCCATATCTGTCCAGAGCCAGCTCACCATCTCGTGTGGGGCTGTAAGAAACCATATACATGGTTTCATACCGTATCCCACCCCATCCCACCCAGCAGAGTGGTTCCAAGTGGGGCAGAGCAGAGCTGGAAAGTGCCCGGCTGTCCTCACTATCCCTGTGGCTGCTTTTTGCTCCCTCAGGATTAAACTCCCACCAGATTTAAGAGGCCCTGGTGATAAGATCATGGATGGCACACCTTTCAGATTGCACAGAGCCAGTGGCAAGGCAGAAACTGGGGGTGAATGCCACCAGCCAGCAATTGCTGTTGGTTTGTTCTCTGTAGGTTAAGACAGTTGTGCTATTTCCTTCCTTTAAAATCTTATCTTTCTCCCTGATGCTGTTACATGGAAACAGCACTGTGAATTTCTCGCTCCGTGGTAATACATACATATTTTACTCTCTTATATCAAGCAAACTGCTCAGAGCAATAGTCTTCCTTATTATAGTCCTGAAAATCTAAAAATCTTAACAGGGCCAGCTGTGTACATTGACCTACTGAGAACAAACTCTCAGCACACATCTGCTAAAATAATTTTGTTCAGCTTGTGAGGGCAGAGCCGAGCCTGGAGGCTTTGCTCAACAGCCCCCTGTCCATCAGGGCTCACCTTTGGCTGGCACAGAGCTATGCAGCCATCAGTTTGTAGCCTCCATCCTGGAGAGGCCCCGGCAGCTCTGTCATAGGGTTTTCCAGCTTGAACAATGCAGGCCAGGGCAAAGCAAGGGAGGGATGGGTGGTGTTAGGTACTTCAAATCTGACTGGTCCATCCTCCCCCTGGCCAGAGGCAGCTGCTCTAGGGATTTCATGGATGCTTCCTCCCGAGCAGCGATGTCCTGTGGGACCAGGGTGACCTCCTGCGCAAGCTTGTGCGTACCTACCCGAAAGCCACGTATTTTTTGTCCAGGTATGGAGTTGGCTGGAGGGTGATGTAGAACTGCGAGGCGTTGCTGTGCCGGCCCTTGTTGGCCATCCCAAGGACCCCTCTTCCCTTGTGACGGACGGAGAAGCTTTCATCTAGGGAAAGAGTTCATGGGTGAAAGGCTGCAGTTGTGTTGCTCCCTTTGCTGCTATTCACCACACAGCTCCCTCCTGCCAGCTCCTGCAGGCACCCCTTCTCCTCATTCCCTGCTCTCCCTTTCCCTTCTCCTGTTCCCCCAAAAGGTCTCATTGAGTCTCATGCAGGCAAAGTCTGGTTTGAGTCAATGACTTTCCTAGAAAGAGCTTCTCACTACTGCCTAATGCTTGAGCCAGCGAGGAAGCCAATGAAAAAATATCCATAAAAAAGCACTCCAGGTATTTCAGAGTATTTGAGCCACAGCAGTGAGGCCTCTGGCTCCCCCTCATTGGTCTGTAATGCCCCTTGCCAGAGTAGCTCCAGGCACTTAGAACAGCATTTCCCTCCAGCTTCTTGGGATTATTCCCAGTGTATGGAGGAGGAAAGCATGAGGCAGAGTGGATGCTCCAAGAAGGGTGAAGCGGAGAAGATGCCCCATGAGCACAGTGATGGCTGGGAGGACAGGACATGCCTGGCTGGGGCAGGATGCCCAACTGCTCCCCATGCTCGATGAATCACACGGGAGGGTGAGCTGGAGACTTGTTTAGCCAATAAAATGACAGAGCTGAATAAATGGACAGCAGATACTTAGTTCAGGAAGCTGGGGTGCTCCCAGAGCAGAAGCTTTGTTCCAGGGTGAGGAGGCAGACAATGGGAGCAAGAACCACGAGGAGGTGAAGAGAATCCTCTGTGCCAGCTGAGGAAGGACTGGTGAAGGAGAGAAGTGGCTCTCAAGAAGATGACTGGGGAAGGATAGGCATGAGGCATGCTTGGGTTTGGGGAATGATGGCAAGGACTTGATTGCCTCTTCAGGGAGGGGAGGCTGGCTATGGGTTGGGGAACAGGGAGTCCACTGATCCTGACCTCCTCTGTCATCTATCTCTGACCTCGTCACACTGAGCAATCAAGAGCCCCATGGAGCTCTCAACAAGCTTGAAGGAAACTGTAGAAATATTTAGATGTTATTGTTCTCTGATTTTTAAAAAAATTCTTTTTACCCTGTTTGAGTGCCCTTCTCAGAAAGTGATTCATAAAAATGGTAATTAAATTTTAACTGAACAGTTACTCCCTGACCGCTGCCTTGTGGTTTGCAAAATGACTTCAGCAGACTAATTTTGGAGTAGGATGCTTTGTCCTATGACATGACGCTCCGATCCGAGTGATTCTCTGTAATTACCTCAGCCCTTTCAGCTCATTACAGTAAAATGCGGTTGCGTCCCATAAATTCCAGCAAGCGTTGCAGTGCCCGGACGAGCGCCAAGCGCAGAGTCTCCCGGCACATTTCCGGCTGACAGAGGCATCTCTCACCCTTTCCAGATATCGAAGATATTTGTCCTCTGCCCTCAGTGTAAAATAGTTTGGCGGGAAGCACTGGGAAAGCAATTTAAGACTTAAAATATAAAGGCATACCCAAGTGAACGCCTTTCTCAAGGAAGCTTTTAATTAAAAAGGGGGAGGTGAAGAATTAGCAATCCTCTCCTTTAATACATCAACACGTGGAGTATGTACAATATGGGTAATAAAACTCTTTCAGGGACACTTTCAAGGTTGACAGATTTGAAATTAAATCCACCTTATAATTACTTAAGTGGTTTTTGATGCATTGTCACCTTCCCACATGACATGGCAGCTTCTTTCCTGGGTAGCACAGGGAAAGCATGAACTCTGCCTGGAGGAAGAGGAACAGCACACATGGGGCCGTGGCTGTCCTGCATGCAGAGGTGCCTACACACCCCCAGGCTCGTTTTCCTCCATGGGTGATTCCTACCCAAACAGAAGGTGCAAAGGGTTTGAGGTGTGTGCTAGCACAGATCTAATGGGCAGCATTTCTGGAAAAGAGGATTCGCAAACTTTTAAATCCTTGGTGATGTCCACCTTGCAAACAATTTAAGAGCCAGCCCTAGTTTTGTCTGACACCAGCTTATGTCCTTTCCGAGATGTGCGTGTCCTGAGAGCCCAGGCTTGCTGCTATTTCAGGAGCTGCAGCATCAAAGAAGTGACTTTTGACCCTTCCTGCCCACTCCAGGCAGGGCGTAGCATTTACTGCCTTAAATCTCACACACTGGGCTTCCACTCCCCGCAGCTTTCCTGCCTGCCAGCGCTGAGACTCGGCCGGGCAGAGCTGGCCAGTGACCTGCCTCTGTCCATCCTGGGGTTTTGCTCCATCTGTCCTGGGGCCTCGAGATGAGAGAGGTTTCTCCTCACGAGCAGGCTCTTCAGCCTCTTGGGAAAGAAAGTTTTCAGCTACACTTGGCATTTCTGATCTCACTGTTGGCTACTGCCCAGCCTGCTCAAATGTCATCTCGTTTGCGCCATTGGCAGTGGGAAAGCTTTTACATAAGGGAACATAAATCAGTTTCAAAAGTGCTTTAACTGTCATAAAACATCTTTATGGGTAGCATTTAATCTAAACAGAAGATCCCGAATATCTGTGTCAATTATATGGGTTGTTTTTCTTAAATATTGCATGGTATAATGTTCTCTTTCTCTTAACGTTTTATTACTTTATACCAGTATGAGGGAACATTTTTTGTTCCCTGCACTTAGCTCGTGTTTGTCATTTCTCGACTTCCACGGTTTTATGGGAGATTGGGAAGTCACTGCCCTTACAGCCACAGACTCACACAACCGCTGGCACCGACACCTGCGGTGTCCCCAAGCCTGAAAAGCTGCCTGAGGTCCAGGAAATGTAGAGTTAAAGCATTTAAACAAGTGGTATATCGGGTGTCTGGAGATCTGTATGTAGCTAATCCACTTCTACATTCCTAAGGTCCTGCCCACAAAGGTGTTGGCAGTTGGAAGCAGGAAAGTGGGTGACCATCAGCCCTTGTTCAGGCAGGGAGAAGGGGCTGATGGAGCTGAGCCTCATCAGAGGAGGGGGCCAAGGTTACAGATCAAGAAGTGACCTCGCTAAAGCAGTCCGCTCGTGCTAATATAAGTGGATAATAATTCTGACTGAAAAGCAACCTCTTTTGCTTCAGGGAGATGAAAGGAAATTCCCAGGTTATTCTGTAAGATCAGGTAAAGACCTTGATTTTTGCAGAAATTTGCCATTACGCAGTAAGATAGCTGAGGAACCTTACCTTCAAAGGTGGGACCATAAATTGACTCTCCTTCATCTCCGTTTCCAGTTATGATGTCTGCAGGGTAGATAAAAGTAGTGATCAGAGACCAGGTTTATCACAGGTGTTATTTGGAGTTATCAGTGAGCAGCTCAGCCTACGTCAGAGACCTGGGCTGTGCATCAGCCTCGGGGAACAACTACATCCATCTTTCTGTTTCACTACTAATATTTTATCAGACCTTTGGGAAGAGCTCGGCTTCCACCCCAAGATACGATCTCTCTATGGTGAGCTATTTCACGTGGTGCATTTAGTTGCTGCCCAATGTCTGTTGGAGGGAGCAGGATTAGAACAAGGAAGGATGAAAATGCAGCTGTGGTGTTATGGTGAGTTGAGACCACTAACTTGTCTAAGAAAAGAGATTCAATAAGAGAGAAACTCCTATGGAACCAGATTTCTGATGGGCGAGACACTAAAGAAATCTGATGCATCTATTTTTTAACTTTTTTTTAAAAGAAGTTCGTTGTGTTACTTTGTTTAGGCATTGTCTTACACCAGTCGGGTTATGGTTAGTCCTCTACAGTAGCAAACTTGTAATTTCAGGTTGCTTTTATGGACTACATAGATATCTGCATAGTTATTCATGGGAAGAAGGAAGTGTATCTTCAAAGTATAAACTTAAAATGGATTTAAGCACACACATTTGGAGCAGGCGAGGCGGATTTAGGTAAGAAATATAGACAGATAAGATGGATGACAGACCAAAAGGGAATAATGAAGGAAATGCCTTCTGATACACTAACTATCTCGACTTCCCTGGGGATGTCGGGCAGGCTGTGTGACCCATCATCTTTCCTACTGTCTTTCTCCTCAATTCCAAACTCCAGGCATAGCCCTGGTGTTCAAACAACTCACCAGCACGTTTGGAAGGGCTCTGATACTTGGCTAAAGGCCTCTGTAAATTAATATATCTGTAAAACAAGTAATATGTTTTCTATGGGTATTCTTAGTGTTTTCATGTTTCCAATTAGTTTTCTAATTATTACCAAAGACCTCCATGGAAAAGAGTTAATGCTTTCAATTAGTTTCCTAAATTCTTTTGAAGAGGTCTTGGATAATCAAAAGAAAAAATTATCCAAACTTTTCCTACGTTTAGAAAGTGAGATGGCTAAAAGAGAAAATGTTTTCTGTTTTTTATATATATATATAA